AAATGTACACGTCCATAAAATTAAGATTCAGAAAATGATTAGTTCATACAAATACCTCTATCTTTTCTTAACACTGTAGAATCGTAGATTTGTTGCAATGTGGTAGATTTTATTACACACTACTTGAAATATCACTTGAGTAACCCTTCTACGTAACAATAGATAGTCTACTACTTCACACACTTCCTTTCTGTTACAAGTCCATTGATTATAGTCATTACTTGAAAAAAATATACTCGTAGTATGATATTTTATTATGTTAGATAACCAAACATTCAATATTATTATCTTCAAGGAAGCTTACAGCCAGCTGTGTACTACATATCCGAGTAGGAACAAAGGAATTCAGATACAGATGGTTTAGACTACTCTTTAGACTTAAAATGCCAGGCTGGGTGAAGGGTAACAGCTGAATCTTTAAAATAACATTTTAATTGCAGTTGGTTTACGGTTCCCTCTCCAATAGTTGTGATTTAGCCATAAGACTGCATTGTATGGTCTCATACCCTCTATCTTTTCTTTAAATTTGTCTAGTATGCAATTCAGTAACTCAGAGCAGAACAAATGAAGGTAACATCCCTTATAGTTTCTTTTGCCTTTTCTCACTTTCTACAAGGGGAACTTTATTTTCTGCTGCATCGAGGCATGCTTGCTTACTTAGCAGTCAAATTTCGTATAAAATTCGAACAATTATTGTTCCATCCTTTTGGGAAATGTAAAGTTATTCTGAAGAACTCTAAATATAAGAGTGCTGGAAATACGGGGGTGTAGGATAGGTAAAACAAATATGAAGTTGTTTCTTTTTGTGAAACTAATGTTGCACTGACGCATATTTTATGTTCTTTTGACTAAACCAGAGTGTATATATATTAATATTTGTTTGGTTTGTACTTGAACTCGTGCAGAAATACTGCACTACCTGAAGGAGTTCATGTTGGGTTGGTAACTGTCAACATTTTGAGGCGTTTTCTTGTGGTTTTGCATGCAAGCATTTTTTACAACCAAATTCCTATGATATTCTACCCCCATAACAGCAGAAAAGCGCAATGGAGAATGAGAAGATTTTTCATTGATAAATGATACCTACCATGCATATATGCCTCATGAACTTTTGGGGGCAAATATAGGAAGAACGAGGTCAGAGTGTTTCAAAAACGGAAACTGCAGCAGTTCTATTAAAGGAAAACGCTATAAAATCCTACCAATGGAAAAATGTGAATCGGGAATAATATTCTTTCGGGACTCCATAGCAATATCGAAAAGTGATGTGTGTAAGAAATATGAATGGGGTGCTCTCTTCAATTTTCCCCATTTCCATCTGCGATCATAACTGTGCGAATCCCAGTTGAGTGCAAAAAAGGTGAAACAATACGGATTACTTCCGCTTTTTGCTTCTGTTCTATTATTGACTGAAATATCTTCACTTCGCGAATGAAAATCGGGGCGAAAATCAAGGGTGTTTATGAAACGCCATTTCAGCAATTCGTGATGTGAATCCGCATTATATCGTCGCCTTTATTTCATACGAGTGCATTAATTTTACTGTGGATTCACATTATGTTTGCAAGGTCGGGTACTGTCGATTCAAGATATGGAGAACAATAGCAGTTCTGATTTTTTTTACTCTAAATTTCAAATGTCAACCTCCAATTTTCAACCCCATACATTTTTTCTGAAAATGATCAGGAGTGTCTGAAACGTCAATAAACGAATCTTGAGTGATTTTTATTTTTATTTTTTTTGTTTTTTTGTCCCGAAGCTCCACAGACACTGGGTTGAGTTTCAAATACTACAAAGTTGTTCGTCTTTGGCATAGTAGTAACCTTGTGTAAAAATCTTATGAAAAGTTAAATATTACTTGCAGACATGCGGACGGAAATGAGTGACATGGTTTTTTGTGACGTGCATGTCTTATAACACACAAGAAAACGTATCTCAATTTCGCGATTCCGATACTTTCTCGCCAATATCGTAGGAAGTAAAAGCTGTTACTAAAATGCTTCAGGAGATTATACTTTCCAGCATTTTTCGTATATAAGCCTTTGTCTCGAGCTTTATCCTTTGTGATGGTGTAGATCATATTACTCTGACGCCCCCCGTATTTGTTCTTAATTCGAGCTGGTGATGTTTATTTCAAAGAGTGCATTGTGCACAACATTTCGCAGAATTCTATTTGCAAGTTCAAGTTAAGTAAAACTGTAAAGCTGAAACATCTGCGGAAAAGCCTCGAGTGCAATCAATATTAGGGCATTGCCCTGAGTGTTCTGAATGAAACGCGCCGGGCGAGAGAGACCTGACACTATAGTCCGAGAAACTGCGGCGTAATATATCAAACATTGATCGCAAATTCCAAGTTAAATTGCCAGCTTTGCCTGCAGAAAAAAAGCGACCATGTGTAAGATGGCGCCTACAACCAAATACGCTTACGACTATAAACGTGTCGATCACCGTCTTTGAACGCCTGCGTTGCCACGTTTATAATAATAATATTACGATGGGGATTGAGGGGGGGGTCATTCCTTAGAAACAACAGTGCCAGATCTACCGTTCTTACGGAAAATCTACCATTTTTAGCCTTAAGCTGCCGGTTCTACCACAGAACTCTTAGTTCTACCGTTTTTCTATAGCACAAATTTCGATAATATACGCTCTAAACGTGCAGGTCAATAAAAAAGAGCTTTTGTTGCTATATTTTGGGAGGTTAATCCAATTTCTTGAGGTATTGTTGGCCGTCGACCCCCGCCCCCCCCCCCACATATTCTTAAACTTTGCCTAATACCGTTTTTACTCTCTCAATTTCATGTTGTGCGATAAAGGACTCCGCACAAAATATATGGAAAATGGATCCCAATCGATTTATCTAAAAATTGAATATGATATATTTCTCGCTTTCCTGAACAAAAGTTCACATGGAACCAAATCAATCCTATGATTAGTTTCTGAGAAATAGAGATTACCAATTTGCAAAAATTATGAAAGTGCTTATTGTAGTTCTCAGAACAAATACTCGGAGAATTGTTATACTGAAGACAGTAAAACTTTTTTAGACGGTGTTGGGAGATGAAATGTTGATCTTCGCCATGATCTTTACAAGGTTAGTTTAGAGGTAAGCTTATTTTCATACGTTGACACTGAATTGGATCTGAAATTGTTCGAGAATAAAAAAATTCGCTCGAGGACAGTTCACTTCATAGGGTCACAAAAAAGTCGTGGTTGTTTAGTTGTCTTTGATTATAACCTTTACAAAGGTCAGTTCAAGGTCATGGTGATTTTGAAGACGAAAGAGAAATAAAAAGACTACAAATGTTGACTTTCAGATTAAGAGTATTGTAGTTTGTTGACTATTAATTTAAATGTTTTTGTTTTGGTCTGCTTTCGGCATATCGAACCGTTTTTTTTCAACTTTTTCGAAATAAAGCTAACTCTGCTCTCTTAGAGAACATATCAAAAAGCCACTTGTGCCTAAGGTATGAGTGCCAGATTTACTTTACCCCCGCATCCCATAATTCTTAATCTGATTGGCTGTACTTTCTGCTCTAGAAATTAAAAGTTTTCCGACCATGTTTTGCTAGGTAGAATCATCGGTCTAGTCTCATACTGCTGATAGGATGAATTGTTTATAGACAAGTAATTTATGTGGAATTCGAAAAATTTTGGATCCAAAATCTGATTTATGGAACACCCACGTTGAGACATTGAAGCATGAGGAAAACTGAAAGCTTGGTGGAAATGAAGGATATGTGGAGATAAAATATCAGAAGCTGAATGCTTAACAACTTACTTGACTGGTTATGAACTGATCGATTAAATATTTTTGAAGAATTTTGTATTTTTTCGAAACCACGTGTTCTTCTTCGTTTAGTTCGGACGTGACAGTTACAGTCAAAAAATTTTAGCTTTCTAGGATTCTCAGATGACGGTCAGTTTTGGGCAGCGTCGAAAACAAGTTTCTGGAATTCAGAATTGTATAATGAATTTATTATATCAATGCTTGAAAGTATCTTCCGGACTAAAATTCGCCGTCCACATTTTTGCCAGGAGATATTCCAACGTTCATTTGCCAGAACACGTAGTGTAATATGCGAATATGAATTATTCGGTAAACAATGCATTGCATCCATCGCTGTGTAGACAAAACATTTTGGAAACGGTCCGTTGTGTTCAGTTGACGTAGCTTTATTGGTGATAATTGTGTATGATTCCGAAACTGCACATCCTGAGAACTGCCAACTTGATTCTATAACAATGCGTGATAATTAGTCTGTTATGTTATATATACACCGTATGTTACACGAGTATTACACAGCCGGAGCATAATATGGAATATAAATGTCAACACTGGGTTCAACCCAGTGGCAGTATTTCGAGGTATCTCTAAAGCGATGCGAGACAAGCCAAAGAGGACTAAGGCGGTCCAAGGAGATTCAAGGTAATCCAAGAGATACGAGGCAATATCTGAGCATGCGCGTTAATCATCCACTAAAGCGCTGTCATGTCAGGATTTTGAGATACCTTAACCCAACTGTTGAGATCCTCCTAAATTCGCCTACTGACGATAGATTAGAATTGATAACCGTTATACGGAGAGGTTGCTAGAATCTGTTAGGCATAACGTCAAAGAATTTTTGCCTATATTCTTTAAGAAACTAGTAATTGTGTCCAATTTAGGTAAATCCCTGCATCGTTTACCTTACACAGCGCATCGCTTGCATTTTATGTAAATGTCGCAATACAAAGCGAACTTTTCGTATACCATAATAGGTGATATCGTACCAAGTATATCGTACTTGAACATCGTGGCACAACCAGAGCAGACGTTAAGTGTATATTTTTAATACAAAATGAGGCAGATGTTCGAAACATCTGCCTGTTACCATTCGTTGGTTGCTGGTTTTTACCACGCTCCTCGTATTTTTTTCACTTCTACCGCGCGTCACACATATTCGAGACTGGTAATGGTAACCGTGAAACATTACGTACAATTATGTAACAAGCGAGAAGAGAAATCACATCGACTGTGGCTCACATTCAGTTGTTTGTACTACTTCGCATAACTACGATCTAGTCGTCTGGTAGTCTTGTCGTAAATTCACTTTCCCACGCAAAAGCGAGTAGCTTGATTTGCCTGGTAGCAGAAAAAAATGTTTTTCCTCACATCAGTGACGGCTGACGAGAGAAATCAAGTATTCGGTGATCTGCCAAAACGGATGATTCTTCAGCAGGACACAGCCATCTGTCGAAATCAGTTGTACGCTAACGCGTTTCTTGCCAGACAAGGTACAGTTCTGTGTGTTCTGAGTAGTGATATGCTTATGATTAACCGCATTGATCTCTTGCACATCAGTTCCAAAATCTTTATACCCCGATATCAAGGATTTTGGGATTCGACTATTGACGTTCAACAAGAACATCGATGCTGAGGGATACTGCTGACATAACGGGCATAAAAAACTTCCACCACGGTAATGACAGAGGAGGTCTGGATTCCAACCATAGCAACACTAGGTTTTTTTTCCGTTTGTCCTGATGAGATTTATTGTTAAGGAGATTATTTGTATATTTCCGGACGTCGATATTTTTTTGCATTTCACGCTTTATTTGTGTTGGTTCCCACAAGAAACTATGAGATAATAATTATTCGCACATCCTTTGTCTAGGTTTTTTATCTCCATCCATTTATTTACTGGTGAAATCATTCGAACGTGACAATTTTAATTATTTCATTGTAAACAAAAATCCATTAATCATTCGTGATTAGACTATTATAACAACGGTTCGAAAGATACATAGAGTTAGTACCACATCATCGAGCAATTCAAATTAAAATTCTTAGGGCAAGAAATATAAGCAGCATAGATTATAGATGAAATCGATTTTTTATTCATTTGCTTTTTACAAATCTGATTCAGAAATTTTCAGATACATGATCTGCTATGAGGACAAAGCTTGAATATTAAATTGCTTGCTATAGCTGCTATATTTCAGATATTTCAGTTAATGATTCTAAGCAGTAAGCTCATATCAAGATAGTACCTAGAGAGAGGCTATTAAAATCTCTTTTGGCTATACCGAGCTGCGCGATGGGGCGGAGCTAAGGATGACACATTTATATCATATAGAAACAGGTCAGGCTTTATTTTCTGTACACATCCGCACGAATTTAAAGATCAAAAAATTAGTGAGGTCCTGCATCTTGTGTACAATATACTCTATGAAACGATCTGCCTGACGATTTCTTGGTATCTACATCGGACCGCCTACAACGCATCAGCAGATCATTATTGTTATTTCTTCAAAGATATACATTTCGACATGAAACATATAGCTAACATTAATTTGATTCATAATGAGTTACTGGATAAACAATGAAAGCCACATCTAAACAAAAACATATGTTGGAATCAATTTTTTCGTTTATATTTTTATCGTCACATCCAGATGCTATTTCAAGCGCGATAACAGATTTTCAACAAACTGATAAGCGTGGGAATCGAGTGCTTTTACATAAACAAACTAAAATACAAGGCTTAGATCGTTGTTTGTACAAATATTTTTTACATATAGATAGCGGCGTGCTTTTGTCAATGGTATGGGATTTTCCCCGGAAGAATTGAGATCATCATCAATATCGTGTGTCATACGTTATTTTACTTAGCCACAAATTGTAAGGTCCTTAAGGTTCATTCTCCTAATATTTCTCAGCCACAAAGGCGAGACTAGAACCGATGGAGTCTCCTACATTACCAGCAGATAATTTGTGCTAATTGTCATAATCTAAATTCGGTTCTGTAAATTGTGAGGGGTGAGTTATATATAAAGGATGCTACGCTACAGATTGACGCCCTCTAAACAATCTAATCTAATATAAAGTTTTTCATGCCTTTTTAAATCCTGTATTATAAAAGAACTATTGAATAAAGTTGCATTTTTATATGCAATCACCCTCGATATTTTCAGTCAAAATGATGGTCGCTTTTTTCCCAAATATTTGTTAGGCTAATTTCATTAATTTAGTCAAAATTAAATTTTGTCTCTAATTCATTCATTTGTATGCGAGATTAACCAGTTTGCATCTAGGCGCCGATGCAATCTAGTGTAAGTCCGCATACATAAGTTTAAATAACACACAGAATTGAATTAATGAAAATAATTATAATAAGCCGCACATATTTGGAATCATAAAACACATGACATTTAATCATTTGCACATGAATAAATGACATACAGAATTTAAATTTTTGACCAACTTAAACAAAATAAGTATGATAAACCATATAATATGTATCTTTGAAATCAGCAGATAATTAAAAAAATACACAGGTGCTCCAATTAAAAAGATACAATTTTATTCCTTAGCTTTTTTCTCACATTGCGGACATTTCCAAAAAGGCTTTGTATTAAACCCTACAATTTCATATATATTTTTTTGAAAGTCATACAAAATACTTCGAGGGGAGCTCAATTTATAGCGAGACACTCTGTACACGAGACGCAATTGCAGGCGTTAGCATTTCGAGTATGTACCGAGCTCTCAAAGTCAGTATGGTGCAGCTGTAATTAGGGTGATATGCTGTGGTGTTAACCGCTGCCTGAAAAGCATTCTATCGGCGCCTCTGCTTTGAAGTCTCTCTGTGGAAATTTATTACGTCGTTTTCCTACAATTCCTTCGTTTCATTCTGTGTTCAGTCAGGAAACGATAGGATGGCTTCGCAGGCAGGTTTATAGATCGGGCCAATGGAGCATTAATGATAAAGAAATTTCGAGGGCTTTGTTTCAATGCCAGTCTTTATTTTACACGTGCATCTTTATAATAAATTAAATAAGCACATAGACGTAACATTTTTTTACTTCCCACGCCACTGGAGAGGAAGTATTGTAGTCGCGAACGATTTCGAAAAACTATTTCACTCATTTCCATCTGTTCGCCATTCCCTTCCCGTCTATAACTTGGAAGCTACCATGTCGGATTTTGATGAAATATTTTCGACGCACCTCTCCTTGTCCCTGAGTTCATCGGCGCCACAGTCTTACGGATGAATGTCGAGTCGTGACTGCCGTAGTGCCGCGTCTGACGTGCCGAGGCGGCGAGGGGCAACGTCGCTAGAAGAACGGTACAAACGGTAGGCCAGGGAAAAATGTTGGCATAAGCCGTCTAATGTTTAAGTTTTACATGCTGGTAGCTAACTTTTTCAGAGAGGGGCTCCGTGTGTCGAACATAGTCCTTTAAGAATTGATAACAACGTTGCGTGGGAAGTGCAGAGACAACCTCCTTGACGCGTTTTTTTTTCTTAATATTTGGTAGATTCAGTTATAACTTTTGCACCGACGAAGGTTCACTAACTTCTTAGGATTTTGGATGTTTAATCCCCCTGCTTAATGCTAATCGAATGGAAACATCACTCCCCTCCCCCTCCTCCGCTCTCCAGAGGAAAGCTTCCAAACTACTAATTTTTCTCCAAAAACAGTTTTCTCATTTTTCGCGAGTGCTTCGCCCCACTGTCAACTAAATTTTACTAAGCTCTGAAAAAAAATAACTAAAAATGCTTTTTGTAGTATGCCGAAATTCCTTGGAAACTTGGCGATGCTTGCGTAAGGTATACATCTAAGCATAAACATGTAGTTATTGGTTTATAGCATCACATAATGATAATGTTGCAAAACGTGGACGAACCATAATTGTCCAAATATGGTTTCTAGATAGACTTCACGGAACTGTCTCGTGTTCAAGCATATTTCTACGGATAAAAGTGATTTGGTAGTTTCACAGATGAATCACTAGACTTATCAAGCACCTTAAATCAGAACATAATTATTTTAGAATTATCCTCGAACACATCATACCTTGATATCCGTTGCTCCATTGCAATTTAAATATCGGATACAAATATTCGTATTGCTTACGTAATCAATCTAAGAAAGGTTGTATGCACGCAAGTAACCTCGAAACCACTACTATTTTACTTTTCCAAGACCAATCCTTGGTATAAAACAGTCGTAGACGTGTACGATATCAGAATTATTGAATCGTTAATGCTATTCATAAGTTATTAATAAATGTAGAGATATTTCCTGCCACCAAGAATTGCTTGTGATGAAAATATCTTATTGTTAATCATGAAAATATTGCTCGGGTCAGCATGTTGTTTATTGCTCCCAGATTCTCGTAAATACTTTATGCTTTGCATAGTTTTATCACAGACACATTGGACATCGTGAATACCAGGTCAAAACGCAATATTTTATATTTATATACATACTTATAGAGTAATTTAAAAATTGAGCAGGATTTTTTAAGCTATATTTTGGGGGGTCCGGTCCCCCTGGATTCTCCACTGATGGTTTTGCTGAATGAGGTGTTTCATACCTTGCTTTCTTCTATATTATTAATCATTTTTTCACATATTCTTAAACTTTGCCTAATACCGTTTTTACTCTCTCAGTTTCATGTTGTGCGATAAAGGACTCCGCACAATATATTTGGAAAATAGATCCCAATCGATTTATCTAAAAATTGAATATGATATATTTCTCGCTTTCCTGAACAAAAGTTCGCACGGAACCAAATCAATCCTATGATTAGTTTCTGAGAAATAGAGGAAGATTACCAATTTGCAAAAATTATGAAAGTGCTTTTTATAGTTCTCAGAACAAATACTTGAATTGTTATACTGTAGACAGTATTTTACTTAAAAACTTTTTAGGAAGGTGTTGGGAGATGAAATGTTGATCTTCGCCATGATCTTTACAAGGTTAGTTTAGAGGTAAGCTTATTTTTATACGTTGACACTGAATTGGATCTGAAATTGTTCGAGAATAAAGTTCACTTCGTCGTGGTTGTTTAGTTGTCTTTGATCATAACCTTTACAAAGGTCAGTTCAAGGTCATGGTAATTTTGAAGACGAAAGAGAAAGAAAAAGACTACAAATGTTGAGTTTCAGATTAAGAGTATTGTAGTTTATTGACTATTAATTTGAATGTTTTTGTTTTGGTCTGCTTCCGGCATATCGAACGGTTTCTTTTTCGAAATAAAGCAAACTCTGCTCTCTTAGAGATCATATCAAAAAGCCACTTGTGCCTAAGGTATGGGTGTCAGATTTACTTCTGCAATAATGCCCATTAATTATTGCATAACTATCAAGTAAATCCGCCTTATAGTCGAAATCACGAAATATGACGATTACGTCATCATTTTAGTCTGTAGTAAAGACAAACGACAGCGATTCGTGAATATTTTAATGAAGTTTCAAATATGTTGGAAAAGAAACAAACCGAATTTTATTGTCTAAACAAACTGTATTTCTAATTTGCACGTATCCGACAAAGATAGACGATGTTTTCATGTTGCATGATCGATCATATTTGAAAGATGAATGGTTAGGTTATGTTAAAGCAGGTTAGGTTAATTTCGAATAATACTTTGGTCTTTGGTGTTAATGTCTTAATGTCGTCTACACATACCTGTTTTTTTTTTCAAAACAAAAACTCGACACTAAAATTATTATTAAGGTATCACTTAAAACCATGAAATAAGATGACAATAAAAATAATCACTGAAATAACCTAACTTCGCAAAATCATAACATAAATGCATGACATCGTGATTGTATCATGATTACTTCAGTACAATTTATGGTATGACGTAATAGTCATCTTTCGTGATTTTGACTGTATTCTCATAATTTTGAGACAAATCGGATGGGATCCATTCTAACTATGCGGGGTCCGTTAACATTAAAATGGCAACATGAATCCAAAAACCGTCCATAAGTTAGTGCGAGGATCCGTAAAGCGGTAACGGCGATTCGAATCCGAATGGTGTCCTTCTTTGAGTTCGTTCAAATTCAATCCGTTCTGGTATCGCAATTTGTGAGCTCCGTTTGCGAAATTTGAACCGAAACCACCCGAGTCGGAATCGAAATAATCAGAATCGGGATCGATTCCTTCAATTCCATCTGCGGTATTCGTACCTTTGCAACGACTCGTTCCGAACCGGCGCAGCTCTGCAGATGATACCAATAAACGCATAGGTGGAAAAAGTTCTTAATACTTGATAAAAAGTTTAATTAACATAGCACAAGATACCCAATTGAAAGAAAGCTATGCTTGCGCGAAAATAGCCATAAGTACCATCCTTACAACTATGTATATATGTACGTGACCACCACCATCTTTAGTTGTAAGTGTAAGCGTTGCCACGTCTCAGACTGTTGTCCCGGGTTATGGGATTTCATTTTCCATCCTTGAGATTTGTTCATGTTCTCATCAATATTTTAGTTTATCTGAAAATAAGAATATTTTTATGCCATTGAAGTTATTCGAAAATAAACTCAATGTACCTATGGGGAATTCGCAAGTGAACATATACATTGTACGATTAAGCATATACGGAAAATGTATGAATACCCACATATACATGTTGAAAGATAAATTCGAGGATAAAACGATACACCCACTTTGTCAAAATAACTCCGAATGCAACATATCGTATAAAGATATTAATCACCGATTATTATTTACAAGGTCTAGCATTTCCATCCATAAACTATGCGGTACGGTTCAGAGAATAGATTACAAATATTAATTCTAGTTGAACCTCATAAATTGCTAATTTATATACATTTATTATAACGAGGTTACACATTTAAGAAGATAAGCCTAGTCAAAAGCAGCAGAACATATTTAGCAGCTTGTTTAGTAATTGAAATGTGTTGTCGGCCATGTGTTTGAGCGCATTCATGAATTTGTACAAAAAATGGCCTTAAGCATGTTAACGCTCTATTTCTCACGCCGTGGTACTACTTGGGATATAAGTTGGTTTCTGGAATTACTACTGGCTAATAGGCGTTTAGAGTTTTAGAAATATACAATAGGCAACCCAGCAAGATAAGTATAATGTTATCTGAAATAACAAAATCGAAGGGCCAATTTAACTGAGGTTGTGAGAGATCTCATTTGAACTGTGTATACTTCGTGATTTATAGACATGACGACATCAACAATGAGAGTCCACTTGCACAGAACCAGAAATGTATCTTCTGCGCAGTGTATATACGAGAGAGATGCCATATGCGCAAAACCTAAAATTCATTTCCTGCGCAGTGTACATGCAAGATGGACTCTCCTCTGTGGTCGAACAACTTATCGGCAAGTGACATCTTTGTATGAAAGTCTGTGTTGTTGGCAATAACGAGTCTGGGAAACTCAAATATCGTCATAATCATCAGCATATGTATTGACAGTATCGTATTGTTGTTGTGCACCGGAATAAATAAATAAAAGCGTCGTAACTAAGTATGAATCCGTAGCGTACAAAAAATACACAACAAAACACGATTCTGTCTGTGTCACTTGTCTATATGAGGTGTTTTGAATGTCACTATACTTTGAAGTTGAGTCATTAATTTTCAGATAATGATTGTAGATGGAAGATAAACCAAAATATGTGTGTAAAAATTAAAAAAAAATTTACCTTGTTTTATAAAGTATCCTCCCGACAAGAGTATTTCAGTGCGGACCTGTATTTGATCGTGAGGTCTTGGAGCATCGGCATGCCGTCCCCATGTGAGGTCTTAAGTCACCTCATTCACGAGCCCGTTGTACTACATTAACAAAGGCACGAGGGGTTGGTTGCACTCGATTGGGAAACCGATCCGCATAAACATGTGCCATTTTTTATTTCGTTTGAGCCACGCAACAGACACCACTATTCACTCACGCGTTACCGACTGACACTGACTGTATACAACTGAATGAAATAATTGTAAAAACATCGTTCCAAATTCTTTCGCTTTTTTGTTTCCGATGCGATGAACCGATAAGGCGGATTATATCCGTTGTCGCCAAACACGAGCACATAATATTATTATTGAGACAGGGCGGTACTCAAACTTCCAAAGGGCTATAACTTTGTTACTTTAATTTTACCAGAAAAATGGTAAAGGAAAAAAACATTTCTTTTGATCAGATCTACTCACTGTTAAAATAAATGACTTAACTTCGAAGTATAATGTTATTTTTTGTCAATATTGACGTATCGTATTGCATCTTTCCTCCATTATGTCATGTTGCCAAATGTATTTTCTTCTGTATGAAAGGCCAATATGTAATAGCGATGCTCGTGTTGTATATAATTAGTGTTAATATACTGTGAGTAATATGACTCACTGATCAGGTACTATATCTCCCGAATCAATTAAGCGTTCGTCAAACTGCGTCGCATGCTAAAATCAACCCATAACAGCAACAAGCCACTTAAAATAACAGTCTCACTCGAGTCAGTAATTTATAGCCCATTTTAGCTCGATATTAATTTAATCTGCTCTGCTGATGGATTTATACAAAAACCATTTTCATACTCCCAGACCACTTGCTATTTATAAAACCACCTCACTTGCCTTTTACATCGAGACTGGTTCACACACTTAACTACAACACACTCGACTTAATTCAGTCTCATTGTTTGAGAACATCCGAGCAAGTTCGGTCTTAATGACCGCAACAAAGAATTTAAATTGATATACGTCCTAGTCATTAAATTCGTTTTATAAAAAAACTGGATGGTCTAGTGTATTCTCAAATGCTTTTAGTTTTTTCTAACTACATTTTTGAAACGTTCATGACACCGTAACACAAAATTTGGTCAATGTAAGCTCACTTTATAATAAAATTAAGATCTATACAGTTAGTGAAGGCGTTTTTTGTGAGCATCAATGACTCAAAACGCATCAAAATTTTTGACTTAGTCATGAGTTCGGAAGTACTGTGAACTCTACGCACAACAAATTATATTATTTCACTGCTAGCTTGAGCTCTCTAAGAAGAAGTTACATATCTCTCCCTAAGTAAATAATGATTGTGTGCATTCATGTGGAGCTTCTTTGTCTTCCTGTGTAGATGCTCGTAATTGTCAGTGCTATTAAATCCTTTATTCATTTTTGAATATTTATAATTATTGCTCACTTCAAATCAATACAGATTCTATTTTATAACTATTATATATAATTATTGTTGATGATTGAATTTATTTATCTCATTTCGCGTGCTTTATTCGGACAATGTTGCCGGTCGTTCAGGAATGTCTCAGATATGCTATATTTCAAAGTATAATCAAATTAAATGTTGTAATACTCGTATATCATCGTTATTAGAGTCGTATAGTATTAATGTACATCGATCGAGAAAACCATTATTTTCCGCACGGTTATCATGTAAAAAGACCTACAAAACGTCAAGAAAAACCTATAAGATGTCAACTTGCAGACTAGGTAGTTTTTTAGGGTGCAAGCAGTCATTCCACGTTTGCTTACTAGGATCGTTGTGAACGTCCATCTATGGAGGAATCACTCAACTAAGCTACACGCATTATTGGTTGCATAGTTTTGTGAGGCCAAATGGACCTTGTTTGTAGTTTTTATCTCTGAGAAGAAAGTTGGTTGAATAGCAAGATCACATCTGGATGATTATGTGTATTGGTCTGCATGTCTATAAAATCAGTGATATTTGCTGGGTAAGAAAATCATTACTGAATATGCTGCCAATGAATTATATCTATTGGCTGTACTCGACGGGTTATTTTTGTGTTGTGCTTTCTGGAGAGAGGATATGTTCAAAGTTATAAATTACGAAAAACTGAGGAGAATTACGGGAAATGGTCACCGCGCCCGCGTTGTGTGTAATTACTGTAGGCATGAATAGGGCTTGTACTTCGACAGTATACAAGTGAATATAATTATTTCTTATCTCTCTCATTATTGAAATTCAGCAAATTTGTATATGTAATTTCCAGAATGGATTAGAAAAAGTGGATGCGCAACTAATTTGTAGCTTTAAATCTCAATTAAGTGTATTTGAGACGAGAACCCAATGTAATTATCATCAACACATACAGCTCACAGCTTAGACCACCAGTAATGCCATCTCAGAAACAGATTTTACATCACATCAGAGCCAAAGATTGATAACAAGCCTCATGACGTTTAGGCAACACTTACAACTAAGTGCTAAGTTAAAATATTGTAAAAAAAACTACATAACGTCAAAAAAAAATCGGCATAATGTCCCTTTCAAGATACGTGACACCCGTGCCGATTGGTGCTTACAGATTGACATTCCAATTCTATATTTCCCTTTTTCCCATTTTTATTAGCTCTTACGTTGGATCATAATTCCAATCAACACAGCTTCAATGTGTAGCATGCATGTAGTTGTTCCAGTCGAGCTAAATGTGTCTTAAATAGTGCTTGAGCAGTGTTACTTATATTTTGTTTTTCACAATACAGTTAGTTTGATTTATGAACTATTCCTTCTTTTTTGCAGGTAAGCAACTGTTTACTGGACTATGAATACTTAGGATCTGCTCCAATTAGTTTTATACATGCAATTACTTTACTGGTAAGTCATTGATTAGACATTGCTATTGAAATACTTTATTCAGACTAGTTAGGGATGCAGTGCAGCTGCAAAATGAGAAAAAAGTCTATTTTTATGGTTTTAATCGCACAAAGTATATCAAATAATAATATAGAAAGTTCGTTAAACATGGGTCCTAAGGTATGTTCTTATCGTCATACAGGGTGTTGAAATAAGATTTATACAAATATACAATTGGCAACCCAGCAAGATAAGTATTTTATCTGAAATACCAAAATCAAAGTGTCAATCTAACAGAGGAGGTGATCTGCTTTGAACTGTGTATAGAATGTCTGCTTATCGTCAAACAGGGTGTTGAAATAAGAATTTCGAAATATCAGGTAACCAAATAAGTTCGTGCGGTTGCTGTATATCGCACATTGCCATGGATGTTGTTGATCGATAGCGATTGTTTGTTACCTGTTGTCACTTTAATATGAATCCTTCTTTTCTCACACACATAAAAAGTTGCTGAAAATTGTTACTTACCTAGTTTTAATAATTGAAAATGGCGACGAATAAAACAGTAATTCGAAGTTACTTACTGTATGAGTACAAACTTGGTACAAAAGCTACAGCGGCGGCGCGAAAAATATGTACCGCATTCGGAGATGATGCCGTTAGTGATCGAACAGCACAGAACTGGTTCAAAAAATTGTCTTCGGGAGATCTCAGTTTGAGCCATGAACCGCGCTCGGGGAAACCAAAACTCATGAACAACGAGGATCTTCGACAGGTTGGGGACGCAAATTCCAGGACAACGTGCCAAGAACTTGCAGAAATGTTCAGAGTGAGTCCTGAAACTATTCGTTTGCATCTTCATCAGCTAGGAAAGACGTGGAAATTAAGCAAATGGGTCCCACATGAACCGACAAATGATAACAAATTAAGTCGTCTTACCATTTGTTCAGCAAACATTTCACGCAACGCTAATGAACCATTTCTTAATCGGTTTTTAACCTGCGATGAAAAATGGATCTTGTATTCGGATTCCAAGCGTTCGTATCATTGGTTGTCGCCTACTGATTCGGTACCACACACGCACAAGGCTTCCTTGCACCCAAACAAGGTTTTTTTGTGTGTTTGGTGGACAGCAACTGGAATTGTCTATTACGAGTTTTTGGAAAGGGGTCAAACCATCACTGCTAATTTCTATTGTGAGCAGCTCCAACGAGTACAAACAGCACTCATCCAGAAACAGCCTTCTTGGATCAATTGATATTCTTGCAGGATAACGCCAAGCCTCATACCGCAAAAGTGACCCGAGAAAAAATTTCTGAGCTCGGCTGGGAAACGTTACCGCACCCGCCATATTCTTCCAACATTTCGCCCAGTGATTATCACCTTTTTTTGTATCTTGCCAACTGTATGAGGCACCGACAGTTCACAACTCGAGATGGTGGTCATCGACGAATAAATAGTGTCTTATTGTTGCTCAATAAAAATTTATATTTTTCTACTAAAAACCACACGAACTTATTTGGTTATCTGATAGAAAAAAAATATATGTTTGGAGATATTGAATAGAAATTTTAACAGGCATCATGGCCACCTACAAAAATTTTCGAACCTGAGACTACACCAGTTACGTAGAAACTTCTGGCCTCTACAGCATAAAAAAAGACTTATTTTCTATGCTACTGAGTACTTTGGAATATCTTTTGCATTTTTGAATAAGATATTTATTTTTACATGAGAATTGTTTGTCTTCCTTTAGGAGAAAAAGCTGGTTTGAATATTTCAGGTAAAATCCCTAGAAAGGACTTCAACCTGTTCTATTTTGAAAATAAGCTGTATTAGTGAATTTTGACATCGAAAATTGATGTGTATTAAAAGAGTAATCCTAACTCAACATACCGTTATTTGGACAATGTTGATTTTTGTTTTTATTCAGTCTCAATAGTACTGCATTTTGGAAATGGTAGAGTCCATGTTTTTTTTTGTTATTTTTGGATATACCCTAGAAATATTGCCACGTTGTCATGAAACGGGAACATCTTGATGTGTTTTAACTGTTTTAAGTTTTGAGCTCTAGCTAAATTTTCTTCTGGACAAGTATCTTTATTTGGTCTCTTTAATATCTTATTTTCTCAATGCATAATTTGATTAATATTTAATAATAAAAACATGTAGGTACCTAATAAAACTAATTTGCTTATTTGAAATGATTGTGTGAACTTTGACTACCCTTACATGCACAGTTAGTTCATTATTCGAGCTTTCGATATTTTGTCATAAAATAAGATACTCGTACTTTCCATAACTAGAATGGTGAAAATCAGGGTGAAAAATAAAAAAGCATTGCTCCAGGTAAAAGCGACGTCAAAATAAACATTTATACTTAAAACTCCTAATTACACGTAATCATTAAATCCCACCAAAGCAAAACAAAAATCATCAGCTCTCCCTTTTTCCATTTCCTCCGTAGGTAAAAACGTCGTTTAACTCCGTCGATGCTCTCCTTAATTACAGACTTGCCATTGCGGTTAGCATTCCGGTTGTCATGGCAACCTTAAAGTTCGAGCCACAGCTTTCTGTCGGGAATAAATTTCATTAAAGTAAATCCGCTTGGGGTATTTCATTTCTTTATAGAAACTATGTGGCGTTAGAGCTCACGTTTTTCATGTTTACCTAGCACAGTTGCCTACTCATATTTCCACATTAAGGTAGGTAGTTAAAAAGCTTAGTGTATTTTATATTGGACATCTACGTTAAGGCAGATCTGGACTTCCAGAGTGTAACGTTATACTGCAGTTACTTGAAGGAGCTTTTTTGCTTTTATATTGTAAGCTAGCTATTTGGTAACTTGAGAGACACATTTATAAACGACCCTTGAGTGGTGTTTGAGGAGTGTCCTCTTCTTAGATTTTGAACAAACAAAAACGCTACCTTGAGAGTAAGTTGCCATATCACAGGTTTTAAATTTGTTTGTAATTTGTACTAGTTACATCTTCAAATTTTCAAAATTCTCTAAATCTACATTCATTTTTTGAAATTTTGAAAATTTGGAATATTTTAAAAATATCTAAAATTTTAATTTGTCAAATGTCGAAAACTTGAAAGTTTCAAAAGTTTAGCAAATTTTGAAACTTTAAAACATTAGAAAATTTCGATAGTTGAAAATTTTGTAAATCGTGCAGATTTATATTTTTTTATTTTGAAAATGTTCCAAATTTTGAAAACTTGTGATATTTCTTACAGCCGACTGTGAAATACAAAAAAGTTGAATGTTCTAGCCTACCACTTTAAAGATTATTCCATTATGTTTGGTTTTTACTCCATACACTCAGTTGTTATGGCTTGAGCCTCAACTTTTTTGGCGATAGACGCCCACTTCAGTTTATCATGAAGGTCAATGTCCAGCGTTACAATATGCCCATTATTTTCATATCTGCCGATCCGGATCATGTCACATCCAAATTATCCGCCAATTATTGTAAGCACGACTTTAGGAATCGTACAGACAATGGAGTCCTATGAACATGAATACCACAGGATAAGTTTAAAAAGTTACACTATGTTTCTTTTTAATCGTTAACATCATGTTATAATGAAGGTAGAACTAGATTAAATGGAATTATATTCCACTACGATTAATGTAACATCTGAAACTTATCCTGTGGCTTTCATGCTGCTTATGTTTTTCTGGCCAAATGAAACCACATCTGTAGAAATAGAATAGAAAGATACAGTCAACTGTTTCATTTTTTCTGTTTTCTAGGTGGCAGTTCATTCGTTTTTGTTTTTTTTTTGCTAACATACCTTGTGTTGCAACAGTAGCCTAAGGTGGTCTTGTACTATGACACCATCCCAAAGGCGAAAATATTTTGCTCCGCCACCTCAAGGCCAGAGCGTTGTGTCTTATACAGAATGGCCAATATACAACTGACTAATTTTTTATTGGAATTTTGATACACGCATTTCAGTAGGTGACGCCATAGTTGTTTAAAGCACTGTGTGCAATTCATCATGGAACGCTACACGATCCCACAACCGATAAATAATGAGTCGAAAGCAACGGTTCGGAAGCTACGACAAGATTTCGGTCGGAATAATGTGCCCAACGTCAACATCATTCGTCGGTTGGTCAGAAAATTTGAACGAACAGGTGGAGTTAAAGACTTGCCAAGGTCGGGCCGTGTTCGAACTGTTCGTAATCCAGAATAAATGCTTCAATATTGGCTTCCAGTGCGTCAATCATTGCTGGTTTATCCCTGTAGACATTAGCCTTAACATGGACCCACAAGAAATAGTCCAACGGCGTTAAATCACACGATCTAGGCGGGCAATTGACGGGCCCCAAACGTGAGATAAACTGTTCACCGAACTCGCCTCTCAATAGGGCCATTGTTTCGTGTGCGGTGTGGCATGTGGCACCGTCTTGTTGAAACCACATGTCAGCCAAGTCCAGCTCTTCCATTTTGGGCAAAAAAAAGTTTATCATCGCACGGTAGCGCTCGCCATTCAGAGTTACGTTCCGGCCATTGTCGTCTTTGAAGAAGTACGGCCTGATGATGCCACCGGCCCATAATCCACACCAAACAGTGATTTTTTCAGGATGCATTGGTAGCTCTTGCAATGCTTCTGGCTGGTCTTCACTCCAGATGCGGCAATTTTGCTTGTTAACGTACCCGTTCAACCTGAAATGAGCTTCGTCGCTGAACACAATTTTTCGATAAAAATGTGGATCTTCCTCCAACTTTGCCAGCGCCCATTCACCAAATTGGAAACGTTGTGGGAGGTCGTGTGGCTTCAATTCTTGCACCAGCTGTATCTTATAAGGTTTTACACCCAAATCCTGACGCAAAATTTTCCACTTAGTGGAGTAACAGAGGCCCAATTGCTGCGAACGGCGGCGAATCGACATTTCACGGTCATCACTAACACTGGCGGATACAGCCGCAATATTTTCTTCAGTCCTCACTCTACGTCTGCGTGTTGGTGGTTTAATGTCCAATAATGTAAACTGGGTTCGAAATTTAGTCACAAGCTTCCGAATAGCTCCCTCAGTAGGCCGACCAAATTGCCCATAAATTGGAAGCAGGGCGCGATGCACTCTCTTAACCGAGCATGAATTTTGATCGTAAAATTCAATAATTTGCAAGCGTTGTTCGTTCGTAAGTCGATTCATGGTTAAATTATAGACCAAACTGAACAAGTCTGACAATGACACAAGACACGATTCACGCGTCATCTGTCAAAAACAGTGTTGCCAAAAAGATACTAGCAAAAAAATCACCCATTAGTAGAGGAAAAAACAAATTAGGTGTCACCTGTGAGACAAAACAATATAAAATACATTGCCATTGTCATTTTGATCCTTTGAACAACGCCAGCCGTGGTGGCCGAAACGTCAGTGAATAGTAATTTATATATACGTGGTTGAATTCGTCACTGGATTCTGACATACGAGCACTTGGAGAAAATTAACTTCTCGCCCACCTCATTCATCGCGAAGGTCGTCGTCCCATGTGCTCCAGCAATTTTCGTGTTCGCATCAGAATTATTCCACGTGAATTTTACGATAATATCCACCTGTCGATTCAACCAACTCGTCCAACATCGAACTTTGATTCGATTCATCCAATCAACGTAGGCGGCGGAAATAACTTTTTAGCCTTTCGATTGTCTGGTTTCGCACAGACTGGATGCGTGCCGCGGGTCATTACACTGCAGATAAAGCGGATATCTCGAATTAAAATTAAATAAAGCTTCCAAAACATATCTGCCTTAATATTTGCTAAGCGAAATTGCTGGGGAAATAATCAGCAGAATGTTTGGTTGATAAAAAGTCATTTTGGGTGATATCTAGAGAAGTTCCTCGCG